ATATTTCTTCTCCAATCATGTTGCTTTGCAGAGATTCACATAAGAGCAGGTTCAAATCAAGTCTCTGGAACATCCCCAGCTGGGATGGGTCATTCAGTCCTTTGTTCAGAGCTTCTGTTTGTAGCAAAGTCCCTCCAGAGGTAAGAAGCAGGACTGAAGACAAGATGGAGGAGCTGCAGCTGCCTTTTATAGTCTCTTGCCATGTGGCCTCTGCTTCCTTTGTTCCAACTACAAGCTGCCCAGCACATGGCCTGGAAAAACCTGAGTTCTGTCCATAGGCCTGTCCCTGCCTTGCTGAGTCACAAGGTGTATCTGCCGTCTCTCAATGGGTCAATTGTATCAGCTGATGGTCCTTAATGGGCCATCAAGCAGGCTAGGCAGAGCTGATGCCAAATTGTCTGGGGTGTCACCCAGAAACACAGTGCAAGTTTGAAATACAGACAGTACAGAGTCAATACTTATCACTTTAAATACAAAAATGATACATGCATCCAGACAGCATCATCATAACCAGCAAACCAGAACCTTGTCATAACGCTGGTCCTGTCTCTTTAAGTCAAGATGCAGGAAGTTGAGTCCCGGAGGCTTCCAGGAAGCAGTTGTCTGTCAGCATGCAAATGACCCAGCTGGCAGAGGGGAAGGGGACTTCCCCCAGGCTGGTACGACACAGAAAGCTGCTGGGAACAGAAGTTCCCGGAACAGAGCGAGCACTCAACCCAGAGACCACCGATCCCAACGCTCTAGGAAAAGGGGCAGGGAAGGACCCAGTGCTGGGAGTGGGGAACACAGGGTAACCCCGGGAGAGGAGATGGAGTTATTGCATATGTACAGTCCTGGCGTTGGGAGACAGCGCCACAAAGTGCCAGCCAATATGCAGGATCCCCCTTATCTCACCAGACGCTGAGGGACCAGAATCCCAGAGACAGGAATAGATTAGGAACCCACACAGAAGGGGACACTAGTGAAAGGAAAGCCAATAAGGTATTACATGCAAAGGTTCAAGAAGAAGGAAGAGACACAATGGGTATTGACCTGTAGCAAAGCAAGGCTTACCGGTACTCCTGCTGGCGGTCTTGGAATTAGCTCTTTTCCAGCATACGGACCACCCTCTGCAGGCTGGGGTCTCACCTGCCGCTGGCCCATGCCCCTCCCGGACCCCGGTGCCCTTTTACCTCAGGGTTCTGCCCCAGCTGTATCCCCACTCTCTGGGTCTCCCCTCCCAGGGGAACCCCCAACCCTCTAAATCCACCTTGCCTCAGTAGCTACTGCCAGTCACCATCTAGCCCCTGCTCACTGGGGCAGACTGCAGTGTAAAGGCCACTCATCATGGGCAATGGGATAGGACCTGCTGCCTTTGCCTATCCCCTCTGTAGCCCCAGTATCTCTGTAGGCCTTCAATAAGGCCTACAGCCCGGGGGTCTACCAGGCTGGAGCTCTCCAGCACTGCTCCGCTTCAGGTACCTTCCGCGCAGGCCGGCCAGCTGGCCTTCTTCTTCCAGGCCTGGAGAGAGACTCTTCCAGCTTCTGGCCCACAGCCCTCTTACCAGGGCCAGCTGGGCCCAAACTGAGCTGGCCACATCTGTGGCTGCTTCCCCAATCAGCCTGGCTTGGCTGCTTTTAACCCCTGCCTCTCGGAGTGGGGCAGTTGCCCCACTACGTGACCAAAGTGACCTCAAAACCAAACTACCTGAACAGAAGGTGTGGGATGATAAAGATACTTGTAAAATGCCAATCTGTTATAAAACATTGGTATTAAGGTTAAACCTTGTGAGAAGACACATGTACAATTTCTGGAAAAAGTCTGTGGACATGCTCTGAAGGTAACTGGAAACACATGTAATGTCAAGAAGCCTTATGGTAATGCTGCTTCTCAGCTATCACCTGTAAACAGACTTAAAGCTTGTCACAACCGAGCAATCATAATAAATGTGATGTGCTGTGTGGAAGGAGAAACTGAGGCACACCACCTCATTGCTTTGATGGCTGGATGCCAAGATACCGGAAAACATTACTGTCTACGTTGAGTTTATACCAGTAGGGAGAGCAGAAGTGTTAACCGTAATGCAGAGGTACAGAGAGATGCTTTCTAGGAACCCAGATAAAACACACTTTTTAACTGATAAGAGTGATGGGATCCCCAGGGGGCAGCCTGGGACTGTGGAATCACTGTGCCCCCTTAACTCTCCAGCCTGGGCTCTCTCACACAAAGCTATGCCAGCGACAAGCAGCAAACCCCTCCAGGTGCTGTGATCACTCAGCCACCAGCATGCAGAGGCAGCTAGCGGAGCTGGCATGCAGGTGGAGGCAGCCTGTGCAGCTGGGAGGGGAGTTCCTGTCGCCCTTCCAGGGAGCCCTCCTGCAGGTAAGCACTGTCCCCCAGTCCTGAGTCCCCCCACACCCAAACTCCTGCTGCTGGGGGGTGGGGGGCCCGAGACTGCCCCAGCAGCTGCCGGTGCGATGGCCCAGGGGCTGCTCAAGCTGCTCAGGTGGTTCCCAGGCCAGCCGCATGGGCCGCTGCAGAAGTCCGTGACCTCCGTGACAAACACGGAGCCTTAATCACGGGACACGTAACATGACTAGGGAGCCCAGCCTATAGAGAAGCATGTGCTATGCAGGAGGTCAGACTAGATGATCACAATGGTCCTTTCGGGCCTTGGAATCCATGAATCTATGAGAACAACTCCCATGAGGCATTGTGGCAGCATGTCCCAATAAAACGATTTTTGTTCAATTTTTGTATGGAAAAGTTGAGTGTGTGTCGTCCCCTCCCTCCCCCCCGATCTGGATCATACGGAGGCAGGTGCAGGTCAGGAAATGCACAGCGGAGAGGACTGGCTGAATCAGCAGAAAGCGAGGTCAGGCTCCAGGCTGGTGAGTCCCAGGCCAGTCCCCAATGGCACCGAAAAGAGGAAGCTGAGCGCAAGGCGCAGGGAATGGCAGGGAGACAATTCAGGGCTCCAGATGCTGAAGAGTTTCACTTCCTCCCCGAGCCCAGCTGCACATTGCAACGCCACGTGAGGGGGAGGGAGTGCACGACCGGCTCGGACCCCCGCCCGGAGTCAGACACAGGATGAGTTACTCCACCTCTGCCATAGGTGGGCTCTGAGGGGTCAGCTTTGCCGGTGCTTCCAGACCTCACCTGCCTGAGAGAGAAAAGGGTTGGGGGAATCCCACATTCCCCTCTGCTCCGCAGTCACTCTGTGGCCTTCATCCTGAGGCCTTCTCCTCCTGGGCACGCTGGGCTTGTGCCTCCTTTCTTGAGCACTTCCTCAAGCCTCTGGACACTGGGCATGGCAGGGGGTGCTGAGGAGTCCCCCCGAGGCCTCCACACGACCCCACAGACCCCTTGGTAGCAGGTGCTTGGCAAAGCTCTCTCTCCAAAGCCCCCTGTGCATTAAGCACACCCCTTGTTCATCCCCACGCCCGGGAAATCGCTGGGGCAGAACCAGTTCAGTAGAACTGTGCTCCAGGGACTCCTGCTCCCCACAACTCTCTGGCCAGTTTTTTCCTGGTTCTTGCCAATTGCTCTCAGAAGCCTCAGCCAATGATGGCGTCCAGCGTCAGATGTCCTGTGACTGTCCTCTCGTTCATGCCAATATCTGCTTGTACTTTAACTTTTCCTAGCCCGGTCCGGTGGGGGACAGGCTCTGACTTCACTGGCTGATGAAGACCGTCATCCATGCAAGGGAGAAGGAGTATCTTCGGCCCAGCATTTGGTGGCAGTAAAAAGGTGGGGAACTTTGTTCCTGAGTGTGGAGGGCCTAACGCCCCTAAATCATGGGGTTCTCTCTGTGAACTCTAGGGCAGGAGGGAGACACTTTACTCCGGGGGCACTACAACATCCGAGCAGCGACTCCATGGGGCTCTCCAGAGCACCCATCCTAAACCAGCTCCCTAGCACAACCCTAGCACAACCTAGCCATCTTGTCTGATGAGGGGAGGGTTCATAAACCCTTGTCAGTCCTGCCCTAGGGACCCCAGGATTCACGAGCTGTACCATGACCTGGCAGCCGCTGGCACCCTGGAAGCCCACATAGAATCATAGAATCATAGAA